AATGTGTTGCCTTCTATGCAGCTCTCTATCAGAGGATTTCTGCCTATGATGAAACTTCCTTAGATGTCCTTCTCACCTCGGTGGATCTTCCAGAACTTTCATCCACGGATAGAGAGCTGCTTGAGGGTGCCTTCTCGGAGGAGGAAATTGCCCGGGCTATCCAGTCCTTCCCCAATAATAAATATCTGGGTCCTGATGGCCTACCTGCTGAATGGTACAAAAAACATGTCGAGGGACTGGTGCCTAGGCTTCAGGCCCTGTATTCGGATTGTCTATCCTCAGGCACACTACCTCCCTCTATGTATGAAGCTCAACCGAATAAGGATCCACTAATGTGTTCCTCTTATAGACCCATATCACTCCTAAATGTGGACCTCAAGATCCTCACAAAAATCCTGGCTACAAGACTATCTTTGGTCATTACTTCTCTAGTATCCCAGACTGGCTTCATCCCCCAGAAATCCACGGATATTAACCTCAGACGGGTATATACTCATACACAGATAATACATGACAACCCGGGCTCTAGAGCTATGGTTTCCTTAGATTTGGAAAAGGCCTTCAATTTTGTGGATTGGGCCTATCTCCAGATGGTACTGCTTAAAATGGGCTTTGGTCCCCTTTTTCGTAAATGGGTAAACATTTTATACAGAAAGCCAATGGCCGCCCTTAAGATAGCGGTGGCTCTCTCCCCGAGTTTTCCGATCTCCAGAGGGACACGATAGAGCCAGTTGCGTGTGCACTTCGCCAATCGCCAAAGATCAGAGGCCTACGTATTGGGGTGCTGGAAGAGAGAGTGGCCCTTTATGCTGACGAAATTATTATCTTATTGACTGATATGGGCCGCTCTTTTTCCGAGTCCCTTCGAGTCATTCAGACTTTCTCGACCTATTCAGGACTGACAGTCAATTGGAGTAAGTCTCAATATCTTCCCCTAGACCCCATGGCCTCTCCCTTGACCCTGTCCTCTGCTCCGTTACAAAAGGTACACACCTTTAAATACTTGGGATTGCATATATCTAACGCAGTATCCGACTTTATAACACTCAGTGTATATCCTGTGATAAGTGTCTTTAGGTCCCAATTGTTAGCATGGAAGCACCTGCCCTCATCTCTTATTGGCAGAATTAACCTCATAAAAATGAAACTTCTCCCCCTCCTGTTGTATATTATACCTAACTCCCCAGTATGGATCCCGAAGAGAATCTTTAAGACCATAGATACGTTACTCTCAGATTTCCTTTGGAGTGGGCGGGCACGGAGGATTAAACTATCAGTATTGCAGCTTCCGTGGGGGGAGGGAGGTTTGGCGGCTCCAAATTTCTACTTCTATTTCCTGGCTGGACAACTCACCTTTGTTTATAGGTGGCTTACAGAACAAACTGTGGACACTGTGGTTACCTTAGAGGCAGCCCAAGTGGGATCCTATGAAGCCCTCAGACATCTGTTACTGCGAGGCTGGAACTCCCCTATAGACAAACTCCTTCGATGAGAGCCGTTATTCGTGCCTGGAGGGTGTTGCATCCTCGGAGCAAGGAACCGCTTCCGGAGTTATCGCCCTTCACCCCGTTATAGAGGAACCCCTCCCTCACTCATTTTGCCCCCAATCAAAAACCCGGTAGTCTGGACCTCCAGAACAGTGCTTACACTAAATGATATTGTGCGGAATGGGGTTCTGCGTAGATTTGAGGATCTCAAGTCGGCCTATGCACTGCCGAACAGTCACCTGTTGCGTTACCTTCAACTTTGTCATGCATTTTCTGCCCAATTCCTGGGAGGCCGCCTCTCTTTCTCAGCTTCTAATATGGAGTGCTTCCTTCGTAAAGAAGGTCTGGCCTAAACCCCTTTCAGCCATCTATAAATTACTTTCCCTCCGAGGGGAGGGACCCCTTCTACAGTGCTGGAGGGCCTGCGAGGTGGACTGCCCGGGACTGGGGAGGGTGACCTGGATGAAGTCTGGGACAATCCTATGACTATCCTGATATCTGCTAGAGACAGATTGATCCAATATAAAAATTTTCACAGAGCTGTCATGCGACCTGCAATGTCGTCTAAATGCTGGAGATGCCCTCATGGACCCGCTGGCCTATTACATGTACTATGGTCTTGTCCTACACTTTTGGACTACTGGCCGGGGGTGGTAGAGGAGGTGTCGGGGGTGTCTATCCCTATAGTGCCAGGAGTGTGTATCTTGAGTCTTGTTGATGGACTGGCTCCTTATGTGCTGTCCCGTTCCCTCCTTACTTACCTACTATTGTATGCTAGGAAACCGGTGGCACCTACATTGGGGGCTTGGATGTCATTAGTCAATGCTTCCTTACCCTTTCATAAAGCAACTTATGCTAGTAGAGGTTGTCCTTTGAAATTTGAGAAAATATGGCCATCGTGGCTCCACTCTGCTGGCTAATTATATATACTTTGAGCAACTGCTCTTAGACTATCTGAGCACTACTGATATCTAGCCTCTAATACTTCCTCCTAAAAGGGCCACATAGTGTGGGAAACTCCACTTTCACCCTAAAGATATTTGTTTGGATTTCTATTTAATTGAATGTTTGCTTACTGCATAGATAGCTGATGGGATGGACTGTGTTGAATTTATGTGGATATCAACTGAGCCCAAGTGTTGGGGGGAGAGGGGATTATTGACCAAACAATGTTGGGAATGCTTTGGGGGTATTGACTTCCAGTCTCTCTCTTTTCCTTTGAGATTGGGTCAAATGCGCCCTAAATACTTGTAACTTTTACTTGTACTGTACAGTTATGACACTATGTTAGTGTCTTGTTTTGTTTTATTGTGAAACGAATAAACAACATTTTCTTTTTTCTTTTTTAAAGCGACATAATGTCTAATAAACAAATACATTCTATATATTGAGTAGACTGAGCAATTTCACAGCACCCAGGACACAGGCCCCGCAGACACAGTAGCACGATGGCCATGTCCCAGGAGCAGAAGAGACAAATAGAATGCAATAATACAATGATACAATTCCAATGTGGGCCCCAAGTGCAGGCAGTGGGCAAGACCCCGGAAGCAATGAAGGGCAGTGCCCAATGCCAAGAGTCGGCAGCGCCACAGCACGCCAAATATGTAAAGAAGGATTAAAACAAACTGGGATATACTAGCAGAGTAGCATGGTGATAGATAAGAAGAACAATATTGCACAGAAATGCTGACAGCAAAAGCTGTCATCTCAGGGAGTACATGAGATTTAGAAACAGGCTACTAACACCTAAAGAGTTTAGACACACAGACTCCAGATATCACCTTTAGCGAAGGGGTACAATCCCAGCATTACTCAATAAAAATAGGGCCACATTCATGTAAAAGACAAATGCAGTGAAGTCCCTGAGAGACCAATGAAGCATGAGGTCTAGCTAATACGGCTATTACAAAGAAGTGACAGTACTGGAAACACATGGATTGAAGAAAACTGCCAGTCAAAAAGTGGGGTGGTACAGCCAACAGAGGCATATGAACAATCAGGCCACAAGAATAGAAACATCAGAGCGCAGAGGAAAAAAAAATAGTTCAGGGTTTGCATGCCATTAAAAATAGAAAACAGAAAACATGGGGATACTGCATACTTGTGCACGTAGATGAATCACAAAGGGTCAACCTCACTGGGCAGGTCGCTCCAAGATCAGTCTTCTCTGTCTAGGGGTGCGAAAACGAGACGGAGAGGGCGGCGATGACTCTCGATCAAAACTCTGTGGAGTTGCAGACTCCTTGAGAGATTAGCTGCAGCCGAAGGCAGCTCCCGGCCAGGTTTCCGAGTCATCAGACCAGCCACCTGTTGGGTGAAAATCAGCATACCAATCTGGTAACGAGACCTGAGGCAGACAAAGGGCATCACAGGAGTCTTGAAGACCCGCAAGTGTTCTCAAGAGTGCCGTACATCACCACCCTGAGGCTGAGTGACCAAAAGGGAATCGCCAGCGGTACAGAATATTGTGCCGATGGAGTTCAGCCAGGGGAGGGCGCAGAGCCCTGCAATTTTGTAATGTGATGGAAGAGAGATCTTGGAAGATCTGAATTGCAACATTGTTATAAGTGATCGATTCCCATCTTCTGGAGTTTTGTAAAATATCTTCTTTAAGCTGAAAGCTGAACAGCACACAACATTTCTTGGCAGGCCAAAGTCTCTGCCATGCGGGCGTAATGCCCTATGCATCCTTTCTAACTTGATAGGGGATTCGGAAGGTTCGGGACAGGATTTAATCGTAGATAGCTTGTAATGCCAGCCGGAGCCCATCAGGTTCCACCGATTCTGGAGCCCCCCGAACTTGTAGATTACGTCCGCAACCGCGGTTATCCAGATCCTCCACATGTCTCTGTACTGTAGTGCGATCAGGTGTTGATTGTGTGAGGCTAACTTCTGATTGGTGGACTACAGCATGTCGGAGCGGAAATCCGCCCCGTGCCCCCCGAACAAAAGTTTGCAGTCCTCCCCTGTTGAGTACAGTCATGTGGTTGCCTCAGAAATTCAGTAACTGCATACATTTTTTGAGATGTAAGGGAAGTATAGCCAAGCACAGGTTTAAATTAATATAGTTGTCCTTTAACAAAAACGAGAATAAAAAATGCACTTTATGACATGTGAATGTGATGTTTATACATTAACTTGCGGTATCCCATGCTATGCCTGTTACTGTTTAGGACTGTCACAAAACCATAAACATGTGCCAGACCTTAGTATACTAGCCATATAAATCTCTGACTGAGAGCTCAACTTGCTTATAATTAAAGGGGTGGGGGCAACTTATTTTCCCCTGGCAAATAATAATAAACAAATTATTCCATAATGTACTTATTAAACAAAGAAACACTCTGTGTAAGATAACATTTGGCTTGGAGGACTTGAAGTCTGCACTTCTAGATGTTATAATGCACAAAAGAGTACAAGTATCAATGTATATGAACCTTACATATTCATGTAAATGAGATCTAAAGGCTTATCAGGGTTGTCTGAGCAATCGTGGATACAGAAACTCACCGCCATGCTCCTGTTTTCATCTTCGAACATATCCAAAAATATCTCCTCTCCCTAAATGGAAAAAAAGAATAACCAAATCCAAGGTCAGGCCTCTCTAATTTCACAAAAGCATTTATGGGCAACTTTTTCTAAAATTTCCATACATTACTTTTTTTTAAATCTAATTGTTGTGTATTTAGTATATGTATTCATTGAGGAGAATTTATCAAAATTGGAGTAGCTGGTTATGGTAACCAATCAGCTTCTATCTTTCAATTTCAAAGCTTAACTGAATAAACTGAAGATAGAAGCTGACTGATTACTGGGGACAACTGCTCCAAATTCTGTTTGCTCCAATTTTGATGTTTCCCTCATTATGTTTACACATTTTCTTTTCAAATATAACCACATGGAGTCTGTATACTAGTGAACAATATGTTCCCTCACCTTTGAGGGCCTCTTATGTTTAGCAAGTAGGACTATGCAATAGCAAGATCACATAATATCACAGCTTTGAGGAACACATTTTTTGTGAGAAGGCTTGATTGCCAATTGAGCTCCAAGTTCAGTATTGACTTACAAAATCTTAGTACTAATGAATAAAAAGAATTGGAAGTTTGCAAAATTCAGATGAACGTCTTTAAACTTTTTCAAGGCTCACAACTTCCAAAACAGGAACTGTAGTTCCTTTAATGAGTTTTAGATATACGAGTTTTATATATATATATATA